GCCCACAGGTAAGGAAATGAAAATAGCTCTTACCCAAATGGAACAAATGATCATAACACCACATTGCTTGTTTGGAGGGCTGTATCAAAATTAGAAATGTGCAGACCCTTTGGATATCTAGGAATTTCTGATACAGATACACTTCCATATATAGGAAATGACGTGTATAAAACTCAACATCATAATAATGTCAGAAGACTAAGAAAAATATGGGCCTGATCAAATAATTTATGGTACATCTATTCAAAAGAACAGAATGCCATATAATCTTTCAAAAAACCAAGATGTACCATTTTAAATAATCGGTGTCTTAAGGTAATGTTGGCTAGAGCAAAAATTGTCTGTGGAATGCTGCCATTTGTATAAAACAGGAAATAGGAATTGTATTGTTTGTATTGTATTGTACTGTATTGTATAAAACAGGGAAATAGGAATTCTTAAGACTTCTTTGTTTTATATAGACCATTTCTGCAGCCATGTCTTTTATAAACATTTATAAATGAGGGATGTAATTGCTCAAAATGAGAATTTGAACCTCCCCCCCCAAATGCCTGATGTTTTGTCTTTGGCTGTATATAGAGATTTGTTCTCTCTGCCTCAGAATATAAAAGTCATTGTTACTCAAGCAGTTTGGTCACCTTAGGGATTCAATGTCCCTAGTCATTTTCTAGGCCAGAAAACAGGTGCCATCAAAAGTTGTTGCTGTATTCTGCTTAGCATATATATCAGCACATCTCAGCCTCAAGACCACACCTTACACAGAGAGTTTTCTCTGAAATTGCCTTCCTCCTGGTGCAAGTCATAAAAACAAATCAAGTGATGAGGGAGAGAGGACCCACCAGATGGGAAGACACTCAAATGTAGACTCTCGCCAAAACCACTCTGGGCAAGGTGGTCGTTCCTCCATAGAACATGGGCTTTTGAGGCAGACTGCACCATTCCAGTGAGTGAAGCCTCTCTGAAGAAGGCAGAGTTTGTTAAGGGCCAGAAATTCCAGAATCTGAGCTCTGTTTACCATCTTTCACCTCAGCGCAGAAATGACGCATACTGCCCTGATTTGCCAGTCAGAATGACTTTCACTTTCAGACTGCCCATCTGACATCTTTAATGTAGCAGTTGCTACCAGTAAGAAGCAGAGTAGCTGCTGTCTGTTGGAATGCCAGTGCTTAATCACTATTAAAAATTATATATGTGTTGTTATTTATGTGTATCTTCCATGAGCATGTTCTTCGCTGAATTGAAATTGAACCAAACAAAACCTCATAAGATTTTCAGAAACTAAAACATGATGCCAGAGTTAATTGACATGCTCTGCAGACTACTTTTCTTATCTGAATGACAGGTTTAAAATATACAGAAACATTGTGATTTGCTCTTTCATAATAGTTAATGTAAAAGTTATGCTCTCTGAAAATAAGTTTCTACTTAGATAAGTGTGGTGACCTGCAGCTATCCTCTTCCACATAGTAGCCAAAATGAACTGAGTATACTCAAGCAAATGAATAAAAGGGTGAATTTTATGGTATATGAACCAAGACTTCTCAAGGACTGATTAAAGTTCTGTAGCAGAAAATGTACAAGATGAGTGTAGGGGAGCTTGGCGGGCTCAGTCAGTTAAGCATCCCGTTCTTGATTTTGGCTCAGGTCATGATCGCCAGGTTGTGAGATTGGGCCCCACATTGGGCTCCATGCTCAGCATGGAGTCTGCTTGTCCCTCTCCCTTTGCTGCTCCTCCTGCTCGCTCATTGTTTCTCTCAAATAAGTAAATAAAATTTCTTTTTTTTTTTAAAGATGCATATAGAATATCTTTTCTTACCAGGAAATGCTAAAGCTTTCAAAGACTACTAAGGTCATATCAAATAGATCAGAAACCAGTTTGGAACTCCCATTGGCCACAGATGAAATGGTCTGAGCATTGAAAAGATTAAAGCATGGGGCGCCTGGGTGGCTCAGTGGGTTAAAGCCTCTGCCTTCTGGTTAAAGCTCAGTGGGTTAAAGCCCAGGGTTCTGGGATCGAGCCCCGCATCAGGCTCTCTGCTCTGCAGGGAGCCTGCTTCCTCCTCTCTCTCTCTGCCTGCCTCTCTGCCTACTTGTGATCTCTGTCAAATAAATAAATAAAATATTTAAAAAAAAAAAAGAAAGAAAAAGAAAAGATTAAAGCACAAGAAATATGTTTAAGTGCTATAGTTTATAATGACACTTTTAAAAAAAGATTTTATTTATTTGAGAGAAAGTGAGAGACCACAGAGGAAAAGGAAGAAACAGACTCCCAGCCGAGGAGGGAGCCCTGTGTGGGGCTTGATCCCAGAACCCTGAGATCATTACCCAAGCCAAAGTCAGACACTTAACTGACTGAGCCACCCAGACACCCCTACAATCCATTGGCCATATTTGGACGAGATTAGAGAACCAATTAATTGTTTTGGAAATCAGTAAATAAGGGGAAAGAACCAGGTATGATTTGTTTTTCCTGCATATGTTGTACCTCAGGATTACCAAGTAATTGATGAGCATGAGGTTTTTCAATTTAGACAGAAGAATTCTACCTAATGATTGGAGGAGTGATAGACTATCACCATGTATGACCCTAAAGAAGTAATAAATGTAGTCAACCTTTTTCAGTGGCTATTAGTATTACAAAAAAAGTCAACAACAGGTCCCTCATGATTTAAGTATATACCACCATCTAAAAATCTTCCTATCAAAACACCTAAATCTGATTATGCATCTATATCTAATCGTCGGTCTGTAGGAAATACCTATAGTAGTTCCCATATGTTTGGGTCAGAGGAACAGGTTAAATGATACTGTGTAGGTGTAATCGAGAAAATCTAGACTGGGGAAGCCACAGGTCAAACGACCTGGTTTCTTCACCAAATAAATTACAAAATGAAAAGGGAGACAGACAAAATAGAACACGAGTAACATACAAATTGAGATGGGTTTGATTGGGATTAAAAATTCCAGGGACCTGGGACACCTGGGTGGCTCAGTTGGTTAAGCAGCTGACTTCGGCTCAGGTCATGATCCCAGCGTCCTGGGATCGAGTCCCACATCAGGCTCCTTGCTCGGCGGGGAGCCTGCTTCTCTCTCTGCCTCTGCCTGCCATCTGTCTTCCTGTGCTCGCTCTCTCTCCCTCTCTCTCTGACAAATAAATAAAATCTTAAAAAAAAAAAAAATTCCAGGGACCTGTGTTTGGGAAAAGGGTAAAAATGATGTACTTCATTTTCTAAGTTAAAAATACTTACTGAAATTCTTGCCAACCACTAAAAAAGGAATGTATAATTTCCAAGCCAGTAAGGGGGGATAAAAAAGAGAAAGTAAACAGTCAGTCAAGGAGAAGAAAAACATTGAAAAGGTAGGATTAAAAGAAGCTGTAAAATATGATAACAGATACAAATACAGTTATATCATTGCCAGTAAGTATAAATGGACAAAATTTCATAAAGCTGAAAATTGGCAGCCTAGAAAAGAAAAATCTAGCTTGTGCTGTGCACATGAGCCATTTAAAACTCATTGCGGAAGGGCTGAAAGACCTCCTCTAGAACCCTCAGTTTGTTCGTCACAGTCCACAGTCTCTCATGGTTCGTCTCCCCCTCTGATTTCCCCCAACTCCCTTCTCTTCTCCATCTCCCCTTGTCCTCCATGCTATTTGTTATGCTCCACAAATAAGTGAAACCATATGATAATTGACTCTCTCTGCTTGACTTATTTCACTCAGCATAATCTCTTCCAGTCCCGTCCATGTTGCTACAAAAGTTGGGTATTCATCCTTTCTGATGGAGGCATAATACTCCAGAGTGTATATGGACCACATTTTCCTTATCCATGCGTCCGTTGAAGGGATCTTGGTTCTTTCCACAGTTTGGCGACCGTAGCCATTGCTGCTATAAACATTGGGGTACAGATGGCCCTTCTTTTCACTCCATCTGTATCTTTGGGGTAAATACCCAGGAGTGCAATTGCAGGGTCATAGGGAAGCTCTATTTTTAATTTCTTTTTTTTTTTTTTAAAGATTTTATTTATTTATTTGAGAGAGAGACAGTGAGAGAGAGCATGAGCGAGGAGAAGGTCAGAGGGAGAAGCAGACTCCCCAAGGAGCTGGGAGCCCGATGTGGGACTCGATCCCGGGACTGCGGGATCATGACCCAAGCCGAAGGCAGTCGTCCAACCAACTGAGCCACCCAGGCGTCCCTCTATTTTTAATTTCTTAAGGAATCTCCACACTGTTTTCCAAAGTGGCTGCACCAACTTACATTTCCACCAACAGTGTAAGAGGGTTCCCCTTTCTCCACATCCTCTCCAACACATGTTGTTTCCTGTCTTGCTAATTTTGGCCATTCTATCTGGTGTAAGGTGGTATCTCAATGTGGTTTTGATTTGAATCTCCCTAATGGCTAGTGATGATGAACATTTTTTCATGTGCCTGTTAGCCACTTGTATGTCTTCATTGGATAAATGTCTGTTCATATCTTCTGCCCATTTTTTGACATGATTATCTGTGTTTTGGGTGTTGAGTTTGAGGAGTTCCTTATATATCTTGGATATCAGCCCTTTGTACTGTCATTTGCAAATATCTTCTCCCATTCCGTGGGTTGCCTCTTTGTTTTGTTGACTGTTTCCTTTGCTGTGCAGAAGCTTTTGATCTTGATGAAGTCCCAAAAGTTCATTTTCGCTTTTGTTTCCTTTGCCTTTGGAGACATATCTTGAAAGAAGTTGCAGTGGCTGATGTCAAAGAGGTTACTGCCTATGTTCTCCTCTAGGATTCTGATGGATTCCTGCCTCACGTTGAGGAGTTTATCTTTCAGTGGAGAGGGGCGTCTGGGTGGCTTACTTGGTTGAGAATCTGCCTTAAGCTCAGGTCATGCTCCCAGGGTCCTCTGCTCAATGGGGAGTCTATTCCTCCCCTCTCCCCTGCTTGTGCTCTCACTCTCTGTCTCTCATAAATAAATAAAATCTTAAAAAAAAAGCGTGAATAACTTATTTTGTTCTCTTTTCAGGTTAAAGAAAAAGGAGTTTAGTTTAGAAGAAATCTATACCAATAAGAATTATAAGTCTCCTCCTGCAAACAGGTGGGTACATGAGTAGGAGTTAATAGACTGGGAGGGCTTCTGAAATGATCAATGCAAATCTCCAATCCTTTCACTTCAGAAAGGGTTTTATGTTCAGTTATTTTACTTCCCAGCATTTGGACCGGGGTTGGTGGTAGGATGGGACAGGAATGTGTGTTGAGTGATGTAGGTACAGAAAACGTCTTATTTCAATTTGTACTTGTGTTTTTAGCAAACATGCCAGCTCTCTTCTTCAGGACTAATAATGGTCAATCTTCAGATATGATTCCAAATACAGAACAAATTTCACTGGCTGCCTTTGAGTCTGAATTCAGTTTAAGTCAGGGAACATTTTTTAAATTCCTGTTATGTTCAGGTTGTAGCAAGAGAGTTTCTAGGATTTTATCCTGTAAATTGAACATTTGCTCTAAGACGTTTGTACAGATTATTCATTGCAGCAGTGCTAAATAATAGGAAAGGATTGGAAATAACTGAAAATATCCACTAATCTAGTTTTGATTAAATTGTAATCCAGCCTCATAATGGAATGTACTGTATAGCCATTAAAAAGATAAATCAGAAACAAACTGAGGGTTGCCTTTGGGAGGGAGGTAGGGAGAGGGTGGTTGGGTTATGGACATTGGGGAAGGTATGTGCTATGGTGAGTGCTGTGAAGTGTGTAAACCTGGCGATTCACAGACCTGTACCCCTGGGGCTAATAATACATTGTATGTTAATTAAAAAATAAAAAATTATTTAAAAACAACAAAAAAAAAGATGAATCGGGATCGAGCTGCTCAGTGAGGAGGCTGCTTCTCCCTCTCCCTCTGCTGCTCCCCCTGCTTGTGCTCTCTGTCTCTCATCGTCAAATAGATAAAATCTTTCTTTAAAAAAAAGTTATTAGCAAGTCAGAGAGGCACAGTGCATAAGATAGTGTATGTAATTTGCTACCATTTGAGTAAGAGGGAAAAAACTCAAAGTGGAAGATAAATGTCATGGGTCAACAGGCTACATGGCAAATTCAGCCAATGGCCTGTTTCTTTTCTTTCCTTTTTTCTTTTTTTTTTTTTTTAACAAAAATACACGAGAACAAATCTACACCTTTATTTACTTTTCATTCAATTTAAATCCTTGAGGGGTACAGCATCACACGGATTCTGTGGCCAATGGCTTTAGCAGGAAGGTTGCTTCAGAATTTGGCACGAACCATGCCGCTGTTTCCATGAGCACGAGTTACTTTTCCCCAGATTACTCTGGTTTTGTTTGGTTTGCCACCAGGAGTCACTGTGTTGTTCTTTGCTTTGTACACGTAAGCACATCTCTTGCCTAGATAGAATTCCGTTTCATCTCGAGCATATACACCTTCGATTTTAAGAAGAGCTGTATGCTCCCTCTGGTTGCGGAGACCCCGCTTATAGCCAGCAAAAATGGCCTTGGACCACAGCCTTCCAGACATTATTAGGCGTTTTAGAGGAGTCCTGTTCCCAGCAGGCCTCGACAGGCCCCAAGATGGCGGAAAAAGTCCTTTTTTTTTTTTATTATAGTCTATGAGCAAAGAATGGTTTCTACATTTTTTTTTTTTTGGTTTCTACATTTTTAAAGACTTGTTTAAAAACAAAAAGAAGAGTATGTAGTAGAGTCCTATGTGGCTTATTAATTTTAAAATGTTTACTCTGGCATTTTACATAAAAGAGCTCACCTCTGATAATAAATGCTTATTTATGTGTGTCTGTGCATTGAATGACTTTTGGGAGGATACACAAAAAAACTTGCTGGTGTTGCTGACAAGGGCTGGCCTTTTATTCTTTACCCTTTTGTCCAGCTGCAGTTTTTTCACTATGTGTTCATATATTACATACCCATATATATATATTTTCATACAAAAGAGAGAAATACTGGCCAGAGGAGACAGTTGAGTAAGTAGTTTTTAGTTGTTTTAGCCCCGGTTAACCAGAAGGGTTGGTGGCCCAGGAGACGCGCCACATGAGTCAGCGTGTTGATTGTTTTTTGTGCTTTGTTCTCAGGTGTTTGGAGACCATCTTTGAGGAACCTAAGGAACGAAATGGTACGCTAATCTCAATCAGCCAGCAGAAGAGAAAACGAGTTCTAGAATTTCAGGATTTTACCGTCCCACGAAAGAGGAGAGCTCGTGGTAAGGTCAAGGTGGCAGGCAGCTTTACCAGGGCGCAGAAGGCAGCTCTGCAGAGTCGGGAGCTCGATGCTCTGTTGATACAGAAACTAATGGAATTGGAGACATTTTTTGCCAAGGAAGAGGAGGATCAGGAGCGACCATCTGGTTGTTGAGAAGCAATTCAGTTTGGGGGTCTCAATTTTAGGTTTTCCAGGCTCCTTGGAAGAGGTTGCCTAATTTTGCCCTACCACCCAAACTACTCAAGATGCAGTCCATGGATTTTTACCTATTTTAAGGTGCAACCTTTTTAGGAAATGGTGAAGGAGGGTCCTCTACTTCTACTGCTGAGTATTGAACCTCAGGAATGCTCCCTTTATCCTAGAAATGGTCCTGAATGACATCTGGCCTCCTCCCCCCGCCCCCCACTCGCCATCCTCAGGAGGAGGACACAGCACACCTTCAGTAACACTAGGATTCCAAGGACTCACAGCATTTGCACGTCCGTGTGAAAGTTCTGCATTGTTTACGGTGGTGCTAGACCAAGATTATTTAGAGACATGGCCTAGGGAGGGGGACCTGGTGTCCTGTCCTGTGTAGTCACACCGGCTCATTTCAGTAGTTGAGGAAAGATGAGCTGTTGTGTTTCCTAATCCTCTGAGTCTGTCTGCCTAGAACCATGTGTGCGTGCGTGCGTGTGTGTGTGTGTGTGTGGCTTTTTCCCATCATTTTCTCCCCTCTGTGACTGTGGGTCACTAGTGCCAGAGGAGCCCGTCCAGGCCCCATTCGAAGTAAGTTGCACTTTTTAATGTTGTGGTGTTGATTATTTTCATTTGTTTTATTTCCTTTTTTTTTTTTTTTTGTATTATTGCTGCATGTTTGGAGCCTTTAAATGTGATTTTAAAACAAAATTTTTAAGACACCAAGGAGAAAGACAATACACATCTTCAGAATATATGACAGGCATTTGACCCAGTGTATCAGTGCATGGTTTGGGACAATGGAGAGACATTTTTCCATCATGTGTTTCAAGCAGCCCCTTCCCCATCTCTACCTTCCAGTGTAACTCGTTAGAGGGAGTACTTTTTCATCTGGGTTCTCATTCTTGCTCGTTAAGTTGATGTGTTTATTTTAATGATGGGAGGAAGAGCAGGTTTTCCTCCCAGCCATTTAAAAAATATGAATGTTGGGTGTGGTCTTAATGGGTTATATCCGAAATGGTAGTATATAACAAAATTGGGCATAACAGCTCAGGCTGTGATAAAGGTCAACCCAGAGTGTGCTCCAGAAGTGGGGAGTGAGACAGAGCATGGTTCAGACCCAGTGATGCATCCTTGTGGTGGGATCATGAAATTCTACCACCAGCCCTCACTGAGGACACCATCGTATTTGGGGCTGTGTCAAACCTACTGGAAATTTTGTGGAGTGCCAGAGTTAGCAGTGTCCTTTATATGGGCCTGCGGGAATCCGTGGCTTAGAAGGACACTATATGGGTCAGCCAGGCCCAAAGGTGTCATTCCTTTTCCACTTAACTCCTGTGTGCCCTTGCCTTGCTTCCCCCTACCTCCTTCCCTTGTGTTTTATCTTTCTTTCTCTCTTGCTCTCAAAACTAAAGTTCAGAGAATTAACATTCCTTGGCTGGTGAGTGAGATGCGACACCCAGCCTCAGGACACTGGTCACCTCTTCCCGTTCTCCTAGGAGCCTCTGCTGGGAAGCATCCGCCCCTAGAGACTGTCAGAACTCCAGAGATATTTTCAAAGCCAGTCTGTTAGAGAAGAATGAGTGGTGCCGTCCTGGAGTGTGTCTCCTAGGGTTCCTTTGTCTCCCCATTTGTGAGTGGATGGAGAGATGGGGTGGGGGCGGGGGGTCTCTATGTGCCTTTCCTTTGCAGGTTGACAGTCTATGCTGCACTGGAGCAGAAGAACTGACATGAGCAAGAAAAAAAAAAGTGCCACGTCTGTCTTCTAGGCCCACTGCCTCAGGCATAGCATTTAGTAAGTGAGATACATACTTGGTGACCACAGAGGCTTCTAAGGCCTTGGCCAAATAGCATTAGAAGAGGGCCACACTTCCACACTGGCTCTGAATGATATGAACCAGATTCTGTCGTTCTATATCCGCTTTGCCCAGACTGTATAGACACGACCTGTGTTTCACCTCAGTACCTCTCCCTTCCTGGGACAAGGTCCTTGGACACTAAATGCTTCTCTCTTTTTGCCTAAAGGAGTGGGATTAGTAATCCATTGCATCCTCCAACAGATGTTTTTAGGGAGTGCTGCTGGACAGCGTGCAAACTCCCAGCAACTCAACAGAGCCCTGTTTGCCAGCTCCATTGCCAGTGTAGACGAGTTAGTAATGTGGCAGCCATGTCATCTACCAGACTGAAGTTGAGTGGGCACAGCTGTGGCATCACCACCATTACAGAAACACAATTTCAAGTTTGCGCTTTATAGGCATGGCACTTGGAAGAGCCAGGAGCAGTGATTTGGAACACTGGAGGGATGGAGGAAGTGAGGCCTGGGCTCTCTCCTTGTCCTGGCCATGTGGGAGAGAAGCAGCTCTGAGGCAGCCCTGCCTATCCTTGAAAATCTTGGCCTGACCCCTGACTAGGGCCTTTCCCCTGCTCCAAAGTTAAGAAGGGGCCCCCATTGCAAACTTGAAATTGCTTGCCTGAAGTCGACGCATCAACTTCTAACCATGCTCAGCCAACCTGTTTTAGCATCCATTTTCATCATTGGCCTGGCCAGCTTCAATGCTTTCTGTGGTCCTCGGAGCCTGTGGAAGCTGCCTGCAATGGGAGGCATTAGTCGGTTGCTGGCACACCACCTGGCCAGAGCTACTGGAGGTCTCCTGGGTTGGAGGCTGGTACAACTTCTGAGTATGGGGACTTCCTACCCCAAGTGGTGGGAAGTTACAATTAACATGATTTACTCAGCTATAACTCAACTCCAGAGGTTTAGTGTTTTTAATACGGGAAAGAGAGGAGAAATCTCAGGTCCAATCAGGGTTCTGCCCATCAGCTTTTCACTGAAACTTCAAAGATGGGTTGTTGTTTTGTTTTTTGGGTTTTTGTTTTTGTTTTTGTTTTCCCCATCTTTCAGTTTATAGCTACATTTTCCTCTCATCTGCTCCCCACCCACTTTCCCCTTCTCTTTTGGTCACCTTTCCAGCTTCATTTTTCCATTCGTTTAAATGTACCTCATCACCTATTCAAGCAGATTATGTCCACTTTTTCTTAGTGACCTTACTCTAAGAGCTACAGCTGAGGGAGGTACAATGGAAAGACATGTAGCGTTTGCCTTACTTGGAGCCTGAAGAGCTTAGAAACTCATGCTGTGAATCCCAAAACTCAGCGCTCCTTCACGAGCTGTGAAAATCATGACACTTTGTCACAGTTTTGCCTGAAAGGGTCTTTTGCGTGGGCACCAGAGCCAACCTGAGGTAAATTCCAGATCTTACCATCTGGGCATGATCCCTCCCCCCAGGGTTCACTCCCTGCCCACCAGACTGAGAGCCTGTGGAGTGTGCGGGACTAGGGCAGCAGAGCCAAGGCATTGGCACAGCCTAATGGAACGGCACAGCCAGCGCTCCATCCCCAGGCTGGGATTCCATCTCATAATTCCATGTATAGTAAGATCTGCGAAAGACCAACTTTTAGTCAGTGATACTTTTCTCCCACCACCCGAGGGAGAAGTACCCAGTTGGTGCTTTCTTTAATTCCCTTGTTTTGTTTTGTTTTGTTTTGTTTCTGGAAGCTTTTCCCCTGGTATCATGGAAAGGACCTCTTAAACACCACATTGTGGGTGGCTGTATCCAAAGTCTAAATAATTGGCCAGAGGTATGGAATAGCCTTTCCTGGATTCATCCACGGGAAGGGCGCCTTACCACAACTGCACTTCTTAATGTAAACAGCTGACTTCGGAGGAAGGCTTAGTTTCACAAAAATCAAAGTTTCACATTATCATTTAACTAGAAATGGAGCAGCAAATGCTAATTTGATTATAAAGTGAGGGTCCCCATAAAGCCCTCCATCTAGCACAGCATATTCTCAGATTTGATGCTTGTTCATTGTGTGTCTTCATGAGCCCCTCCCTGGTGCTGAATTGGCTTTGAATTCCTGGTGAGAGGCCTCAGCATCTCCTTGGGCTGGTCTGGGCCAGTAAATCGCTGCCTGAAGTGTTTATATATTATCATGGTCAATAGTTCAGTGAAATTTGTACATTTTTGGTAACATTGGCATACAAGATGCCCCTGCAGTTCCTTTTCTGTTTGGTAGTTTGTGACTCTAAAATTCCCACTGTTATGTGTGTTAATTTATGAAAATAAAATTTTTTTTGAAAACCTTTCAAATAACTCTCAAGACTGTTATTTCATCCTTTTGGAAAAAAAAGTGGGGGGACACTTGGGTGGCTCAGTTGGTTAAGTGTCTGACTCTTGATTTTTGGCTTGGGTCATGATTTCAGGGTTGTGAGATCAAACCCCACGTGGGACTCTGTGCTCAGCATGGAGTATGCTTGAGATGCTCTTTCTCCCTCTGCCTCTGCTTGCTCGCTCTCCCAAAATAAATAAAATCTTTAAAAAAAAATTTTTTTTTTAGTAATCTCTACACCCAGCTTGAGGCTCAAACTTCAAACCCCAAGATCAAGAGTCACATGCTCTACCGGCTGAGACTGCCAGGCACCCCTCTTATTTTGTTCTTACAGCTTGGTAATAGATTAAAATTTTACCTCTAATGTCGTGAGTTTTCACCATTTTCTGAAGACTTCCCCAAGGACTCTTGCTTTGGGTGAACTTCTGATTCTGCAGTGAACCTTTGAAATTTTATTCAGTGGGGGACACCTGGGTGGCACAATTGGTTGAGCATCCAACTCTTGGTTTTGGCTCGGATCACGATCTTGGGGTGGTGGGATCAAACCCTGCATCAGGCCCTGTGCTCAGCCAGTAGTCTACTTCTTTCTCTCTCCCTCTGCCCCTCCCTCCTTGAGCTCATTCTCACTCTTTCTCTCTGAAGTAAATAAAAAAGTCTTAAATAAAATAAAATTTACTCAGTGGTAACAAATTATCTTGAGAGAGAATTTGGTATTTGGAAACCACTGAGACTCTCATATCTGAGTCATACCAAGTGGGGTAGGGTTGCTGAGCAGTATTTTAGGTGTGATGGGTTTTTAAATTAATATATAATGTATTATTTGCTTCAGGGGGCAGGTGTGTGAATTGTCAGTCTTACACAATTCACAGCACTCATTAGGTATGATTATTTTTCATTTATTTTTTTAAAAGATTTTATTTATTTATTTGACAGAGATCACAAGTAGGCAGAGAGGCAAGCAGAGAGAGAGGGGGAAGCAGGCTCCCTGCTTGCAGAGAGCCCGATGGTGGGCTCGATTCCAGGACTCGGATCATGCATGACCTGAGCCGAAGGCAGAGGCTTAACCCACTGAGCCACCCAGGCGCCCCTAGGTATGATTTTTAAAGATTTTATTTATTTATTTATTTATTTATTTATTTATTTATTTGTCAGGGAGAGAGAGAGAGAGAGTGCGCACGGGAGAACACAAGCAGGCAGAGGCAGAGAAAGAAGTAGGCTCCCCACTGAGCAAGGAGCCCGATGCGGGACTCGATCCCAGGACGCTGGGATCATGACCTGAGCCGAAGGCAGCGGCTTAACCAACAGAGCCACCCAGGCGTCCCATAGGTATGATTTTTAAATAGTGCACCTTGTTTTCTCATTTGGCAGAGGGGCAAGAAAGCAGTTACAAATTCAAGTCAAATATGTTTCAAATACTAGCCTATAAGGGTAAGAGCTTGACTTGCTAATGAAACTAGATAGAATATAAATAAGTTCCTTCATTTACTATAAAAAGGGTCTTGCCTTTTATCACATCCTCCTATCCATCCATGAGTTAGGCTGTGAGTCCTCCATTCTCAGCTCCCTCTTTCCTCCAATGGCAGCTAGCAGATGACTGAAAACATGGCTGTCTAACACACCAACATGTCCCAGAGAGAAGCATGATTTCTGAGGATGTTCTTTCTCTGTCCAGAGGAAAAGCAGTGCCCAGTGTCCCTTCTTAGCTTTTTCTAATTCTTGGGCTTCTACAACACAATTCCATCCATGTAGTCTTTTACATTTGGGGAACATTCTGCCTTGCAGCTGTGCTTCTGTTAGTTTTCACAATTACTTGAGAAGAGTACTCCTACACATTTTCTTTGTTTAGAAGGGAGAGACTAATAATCTATTAAGTGTTCTTTCTTTAGCGAATCCCATTGCAGAATCTTAGGTTGGTAGGGCCTCCTGAGAATAAGGACTGGCCCATGCTGATTAAGAATCCTCTGTGGTGGGGCGCCTGGGTGGCTCAGTGGGTTAAAGCCTCTGCCTTCGGCTCAGGTCATCATCTCAGGGTCCTGGGATCGAGCCCCGCATCGGGCTCTCTGCTCCGCGGGGAGTCTGCTTCCCCCCCCCCCATCCCTGCCTCTCTACCTACTTGTGATCTCTGTCTGTCAAATAAATAAATAAAACCTTTAAAAAAAAAAAAAAAAAAAGAATCCTCTGTGGCGTCCTGCCCTGTTGCAGTGACAGACACCTCATCTCTGCAGTTGCTTCTGGGACTTTTCTCGAGAAGTGTTATAGAAAATTCTAATTTTAAGATTTTTTTTTTTTACTTTGTTTGACAGAGACCACAAATAGGCAGAGAGGCAGGCGGAGGGTAGGGGGAAGCAGGCTCCCTGCTGAGCAGAGATTCCCGACGTGGGGCTCGATCCCAGACGTGGGGCTCGATCCCAGGACCCAGAGACCATGACCTGAGTGAAAGGCAAAGGCCCAACCCACTGAGCCACCCAGGTGCCCCAGAAAATTCTAATTTTTAAGCAACTTCCAAGGTCATGGATGAGTCATAACATCTTATACTTCCAGTGTCTTCTCCCTTTAAATTGAGGAGATAGAAGCAGTTTGAATAGAACTTACATACAGACCAGGCATGCTCCTACTGTATGATACATTCACTTGATTTGCTATCTCCAGGGCCCAGAATGTTCTCCCATGTTTCTATATGTTCCCTCAGATCTTTGCCTTCCCAGATCACCCTTCCTAAAGGTGTATCCCCACCCATTCTGCATCACCATTATGTACTTTATACTCTACAGCACTTATTATAACTTTGTACATACTCATTCCTGTAAGGTAAGCTCCTTGAGGTCAGGAACTTTGTTTTATTCACCCTGGGCTCTCCTGGCTCCTGAAGCACCTTAAACAGCCCCTCACATATTATGGGAGGAGCTGCATAAACATGTCATGGGTGAAGGAATAGGCTGCTTTCACAAAACTTCTTGTCGCACAGACCTGGTGAAGTCCTTTTCAACCCCCTGACTCTGGCTATGTGAAGACCCTGTAATTGTTCCCTTCAGTGACTCTTCAAGGGACCCAGCCTGTGGCTACCCAGATACAAAGGGTAGAACTGGTCAACTTTTCCTTTTCTTTTCTCTCTTTCTTTTCTTTTTTTTTTTTTTTTTTTTTTTTTGTTAAGATTTTATTTATTTGACAGAGCGCACAAGCATGGGCAGTGGCAGGCGAAGAAGGAAAAGCAGACTCCACTGAACAGGGAGCCCGCTGTGGTACTCCATCCCAGGACCCTGGGATCATGACCTGAACCCAAGGCAGATGCTTACTGACTGAGCCACCCAGGCACCCCTGGTCAACTCTTCTGATGCCCAGCTCTGCCCAGCTCTGCCCAGCTCTGCCCAGCAGTGCCCAGCTCCGGCTGCAGCCACACCTACAGCTGGTCTCACGCCTTCTGATTGGCTGTAGCTCATAAGTGGGGAGGGGCCAGTTGAGTTAACCCATTGCGGAGGCAGCAGGCAGAGGGGTCAACAATCCGGGAGGTGGTACCTGCAACCGAACCTGGACACTGCATCCCTGGCCCAAGGACATAAGTGTGGGGTGCTGGAAGGCAGAAAATCCCATGCATAGGAATCGTCTTGGGAATTTTTCTCCTTTTCCTTTTGCATTTTTTTTTTTAAAGATTTATTTGAGAGAACACAAGCAGGGAGGAGGCGGAGGGAGAGGCAGAATCCGACTCCCCGCTGTGCAGAAAGCCTGATATGGGACCTGATCCCAGGACTCTGATATCACGACCTGAACTGAAGGCAGACACTTGACTGACTGAGCCACTCCGGCGCCCCATTCTTTTGCATTTTTAATCTCAGAATCTTGAAGATGGTGAAATGGTTCCTGAAATAGTGCAAATAGAGAAGTAAATTCCCAAAGCATTGCAGCAGTTGATGAGTCTGGCTGCCTTCCCCTACTGCTGCCTACAAAAGCCATCTTTGTGAAACACAATTTCTTGTCAGAACCACCTCTTAAAATCTCTTCATGGCTTTGTCCTCACACCCAAATAAAGATAATAACTGCCATTTACTGAGCCCTGCCCAAGGGCCAAGCATTTTGTGCTATGTTCTCCTTGAATTCTCACAGCAACTTGTAGTAAATCATTGTAATCCCCATTTTGTAGATGAGGAAACGGGCCTCCTCCTGACTGTGAGGCTGTGTTATCAAAATCAGCATTTCTGCCCACATCGTCCTCTCCAGCCTCATTCCCTTTTGAATCAGCACCCTGAATTTCTTCTAGTTTCTCAGATCCTCCATGCTGTCTCTTCCCTTGAAGCTTTTGCAGGAAAGCTGTCACATTGGCTGGAAATATTCTTTCTCCCACCCCTTCGTTGAACTGCCTGTACTTCAGATCTCTGAAGGTTTCCCCCAGCCCCTTCCAGCTCTGTCCCCACCACTGCCTGGTAGGCACCCCTCTTACATGCTTCCTCAGTGCATATACTCCCCCACCCTCTGAGCTGCCTGCTCACTCCCCAGGATCCTCCTCCCCTGTGAGCTTCAGGAGAGCAGGTCTTGTTTGCCATCCCCAGCCCCTTGCACATCCCTGGCACACACGTGCTCAATAACTGCTTATTGAACAGATCAGTGTATCATGGCTTGCCTGAGCACCATGGGACACAAAATAGCCAGTCCTCTGGAAGGTCATGGACAGGTAGGGGAGAGAGACACATGGGTCAGGAACTGATAGGAGGCAGACTGGCAAGTTTTAGGATATAGGTAGGAGTGCTGTGGGGAGAGAAAAAGTTTGTTTTTTTTGTTTGTTTGTTTTGTTTTTAAGAAATATAAAATTTGCAGGAAAAAAAAAAGAACATAATAAGCACCCATATTTCCACCATCCAGAATTAACAAGGGTTAGTATTTTTCAAATTGCTTCCAGTCATGTTTAAAAGAAATAAACCATTATGGATATCACCAAAGTCCAAAGAGACGATCAGTCCCTATTACATCCCTGCTCCACTCCTTAGAGACA